CCGAGGCGTCAGGTTTGCACAAACAATAATACGCACATAGGCGTTAACATCAGCGCGAACACATGCACACACTGTAACTGGTTACAGCATCAGCCCGACACACACGCATGCACAAAAACAGAAGGGCTACTGCCACCAGTTTACCGCCCCGCATCCTTCCAGGACTGCGTGAACAGCGCCATACATACACACACATAACTACGCAGACTGTGTGGACTGATCTGGGGCGTCAGTCACCAGCCTTTCAATCCACAACGCTTGACGCGCCGTGATAGCCTAAGACTCGAATCGCGCATGCATCAGAGAAGCAGTATAGTGACGAAGCCGAGACGCACACCCCCCACTTGCGTGGGAAGTGGCAGTTGAGCGCTTGCGATGGGCGATGTTGATGTGTGGTGAGATGCTAATGAGGGAGGATGGGAAGGTGTAGTACAGCCGGCGATTATCTAGCGCAGGTTTTTATGAATGCGCAGGAGGTCTAATCGACTCATGCGGTGGGGAAATGCGCGGGTGCAGTGAGGGCAGTTAAGGCGGATGCGGCGAGTGTATGTAAAAGCTCTAGGCACTGCGATGGACTCACAACCGACCGACCAGGCCGATGTGTGCGGTGAATGTCCGCGGACAGTGTGAACAGGAAAAGTCGGCGATGTCAGTGTCGGTTTCGGAGATAGTAGAGCTGCTGATGTTGGCCGCGACGTGCTAGGCATGGTGGGTGCACAAGATATGCTGAGTGCGGTGGAGCTGATAGTGGAGGTCGAGCTAGGCATGTTGGATGTGCAGGAGGCGCTAGTTGTCTCGAAACTGCGGTCAATTTGCTCTCGTGGATACGCGTGTGACCGAATAGACCCATGCGGTGAGTGAGTTTGCGAGGGAAATGTAGACAGTGGAGGTGAAGACGGCGAGTGTGGGTTGGTGCTCCAAGCACTGGTTCCCAGTCCCTGTGTGATGGATTCCCAAGGGACTGACCAGGCTGATGTGTGAGGTGAAGGTGCGGCCGCAGTGAGAACACGTATGGATCGAATTCACATAGTTGGTGTTATTGGGAAAGGAGGGTTAGTGCCTGTTGGTGTGTCAGAATTGTGTGCAATGGTGGTGAATAGAACAGCCGCCGTAGCGGGTCTCAAGGCAATGGAGGAGGAGGTGCATTAGTTGACGGCGGAGAAGGAGCATGAGGAGAAGAAGAAGATGATGATGATAATGAAGAAGAAGAAGAAGGAGGAGAGGAAGGAGGGGAGGAGGAGGAGGAGGAGGAGGAGGATGGTGGGGTTCGGGATTGCAGCCAGTGTTACTTGTCGGCGTGGAGAATGAGGCAGAACTGGACGATGAGACAGTAGCTGGTGTAGTCCGAGTGCTGCAGTTGGCACGAAGATGTCCTTCAAAATATGTTGGTGTCCGGAACGTCAGCTGGCAGCAGGGACAGGTAGGGGGTGGTTGAGCGTTGGCGATGCGAGGTGGGCACAGTTGGGATTTGCGAGCTGTGCGATTATCTTCGCGGCGATGATGCGGTTGGCTTCGTAGATCGCTGCGTTTGTCTTCGCTGTCCTCCTCCCTGTCGGTCGGTCGATGTCATTCCAGTTGGCCGGGTTGACCTACAGACGCTTCAGGGAAGTATTCAGAATGTCCTTGGAGCGACGGACTTGTCGGGAACCCCTGGCGACATCTTCGTGGAAGAGTCGTTTAGGTAGCCTCTTGTCGTCCATCTGCACAAAGTGGCCGCTACAGCGCAGTTACAGCTGTCTCAGCATGGCGTAGATTATGAGGATTCCCGTGCGTTTCAGCACGCTTTTGTCCGGGAGCCGGTCCTGTCATCTGAGCTTCACAATCCGTCGAAGACAAATGAGGTGGAAATTATTGAGTCTCTGTACACCGTCCAGTTCTTTGCTCCATGCGGTAGCGTTGGCAGGATTACTGCCTTGTAAATCTGTTATTGAGGTAGTGACCGTGGCGATTCCAACTTGTGCTTTGCGGATATATAGAACTTATGGAATTGTGCAATATATGTGGACTAGAATGTATGCTTAATAGGTAGAGTTAGTAAAAGTGCTCATGCGATGCTGTGTGAATGCACACTTGACGATCTTAAAACTTTTGCGTCGCATTGTCCTTTTTGGTAATGTAAGTATTCGTTTGTATGCCGACTTTGCTTTCCCTGGAATACCTTCCACAAAATACAGTGAGTGACTGATCTCATGAAAAGGGAGAGGGGCAAAATTCTGGAATGCGTTTTCGATTAGGTAGGATTACTTGGGTGGGGCTGTAATATTGCTTATCATGTGGCATAATCCTATGATATTTCAGACTCGTCAGGATATCGGCTCGTAAATGCACTTTTTTGACCTCCTGTAGAAACCGAACTCGAAAAAAGTGACTACCAAATTAGAATGCGTTTTTCATACTGATTTTCGGTGATTATATACATCCAAATATATTTTATGGAAAATATGCACAAAAATATGCCTTTTTTACTCGCTTGGTTGAAAATTACGTTGTCTGCACATTTTGTACTCGAAGGAAGGATATATTCTGGTTTTAAATAAGTTCCCCATTATGGGATTTTTAAGATCGTGCAACGTCCAATCATGCAGCGTCGTACCTGTACGTTTATTAATACTACTCATAAAACATACAGCATAATCCGCATCCACTGCGGAATTTTATTAGCTATGCCTGGTATCTTATTAAAAGCATGGATGAATATATGATTGTCCTTACGCGGAAAGTGTGGATTTTTTGGACGGAAATCGCTAAACACTAATGCAAAGGCTGATAAAGCTCAAAATTATTCTGAAATTGGAAAACTTTCTCAAAACCTCTATACGCTCATTTTCGATAAATATGTGTGCAGACAACGTAATTTTCAACCAAACGAGTAAAAGGAGGCGTATTTTTGTGCATATTTTCCATAAAATATATTTCGATGTATAAGATAATCAGAAGTCAGTGTGAAAAATGCATGTTGTTTTGATAGTCACCTTTTTCTGAGTTCGGTTTTTGCAGGAGGCCAAAAAAAGTGCATTTTAAAGCCGACATCCTTAAAAGTCCGGTATATCATAGGATTTTACCGTATAATGATAAATCTTACAACCTACCTAAGTAATCCTCCTTAATCAAAAACGCATTTTAGAATTTTTGTCCATACTTCATGAGATTGGTCACTCACCGTATACCCTCTGCTAATCCGTATTCTGTTAGAACATCACATTGAGACCTCCAAATTACTTGACTGGTGTCGATAAGACAACAATTATTAACCGTACTTAGCAACTATTTTTGATCTGGAACGATAAAGTGTCTAACTACCGATAGGATGAATAAGTGTAGAACGTCACAGAAAACCCAGCATATTCAGCACTTTATGGCAAAGGTCATTTATGACTAAAACAAAATGCAAAAAAGAACAAAACTTCTGGGAAGAAATGATTTATGAATGACTTAATTAGGCCTTTGTACATCCAGGATTAGACTCTCCGTAATCCAACTCAGAGGCAGCCACTCAACATAAATTTGCATAAACGTAAAAGAGATACAAGGGGATCAGTTCGTCTTCGGTGAGAAATTTTCAAAATTTCAAAAAACAAATGCGCGTTCTAACCGGAACTCTAAGACAAGGTCTTTCATCTACCATCAAAAACAAATTTTCCCGCTAATCAACTGAACTCACAACCATATCCCTTTTTATTCGGACACCGGTTTGAGGCAACAACCTGACGTGCGCACATTTAACCCAAAGATCCGTTTTCGTACTGGCTTCCTAAACTAACCGGTTAATTGCGGTGAGGTGACCTACAAAAGATTAGTTACTCTGGTGCACGCGCATGCAGAAGCAAAAACATTGTGTGTTCACTAACTGTTATGTATAAAGTAGAAAACGACCATCAGTTTCTTCTAAAGAAGTAGAAACGGGAGTGTAGGCTCTAACGTCCAATAACAAATAAAATTACTAAAGATCGGACCCTCAATACATCTGCAAAACCATCGAATGTCAACTTAGCAACTGTGAAGGACTACTGGTAGAAGAGCAGATGGTGCCCATAGAAGATATGTTGTTGTTCGTATTTCTAATGCAAAACTTGACTAGTAGTGTGAAAAGCCAGATTAACATCGTATTTCTTTCAAGGGTTGAACTTCTTCATTCTTACCGGGATACTTTAACGATACGCTGCTTGGCCTAGGAATTAATATTTGACACATTCGCCGGTTAGGCCAATTTCTCAGAATAATTCCAAAAGGTGTTTCTGTATGACACTTAATAGGGGGGGGGTAAAATAAATAACACTTTAAAAACACTTGTGAAGGTAAAGCGCATTTTATAGTCCAGTCAGTTTAAAAATATGATTAAAGGCCTAAGCAGTAGTCCGCACTACTCATATTGCCAAGATTTTCATTACATTCTGGTGAAAGTGCTCTGATCTCTCGAGAGATGGCGAATCAGCAAATTTTTAAAATCAAAGTGGATAGGGGTAAGACCAATTGGACCTGAAAACATCTCCTACCCAAACGTTAACCATTGATCAGCTTTGCTGCTGGTTAACAACAAACTGCACAATTATACTGTTGCTGACAAGCCTTCAAGTGTTAACAAGTTAGGGCAAAACCATCAAACGAAAGTTAAAAATGTCGCCAGTTTTGATCAAATACGACAGCCTGACCGCGCAAAGTAGTTTCTAGTCGTAGTTCACTTGCACAGCATCTGCCACACTCTCTCCTCCTCCACGTCTGAGCCCGGCATCAAGACGTAGTCAAGATGATCGGATGTGATGGAGAGAGCGCAGGTGGCTGGCACGGTCGGACCCGCACCTAGGTGGACCACCACACCCCCTGGTCCAAAACAGACACTTGGCCATGATTCTGACTAACCAACAACACCATCATAACGCGTCAGAAAGTCGAGGATGACTGGACAGCCATGCTCACGGCCTGTATACCCGGCGGGAGCGCAAGCGTATCTATTGGCAGGGAACCAGGTGTCAGAAAACTACCAGCGCACACCAAGCTGCGAGGGCCATGATTTACTGATCCTGACATGGCAGACGCTCGCAAACCTCTATGGCCAAATGCACCTGTGCATACGCGTGCGGTTTGGTGTTTGATGAGTTTGAATAGAAATTTATTTAGACCTAAGTGCGATTAAATTCACGGCCCCCTGCAGGGTCCTCGTAGCTCAGATGGCTTGCGCGTTGGCTATATTCAGGCTTTCGTCTTGCCGTCGTGGTTTTCAATCCCACTGAGCTCGTAAAGTTTCTCACAGTTGGGTCAAAATGTATCGTTCGAAATCTACCAAAACGCCTTTTAAAGGAAAATGATTGGCTGCTACCTCATACAGCGGTCGATTCGCCTCTTCAAACTGACATAAAATATCTGCCAACAATGCAAGATCTGGCTGATGTGGACAGCGTGAGCTGACTCTAAAGAACATCGTAAGACACAATGATAAACCGTGCTTCTATTCCGGTGACCAGCAAGACGAGGATCTACCTTAAATACATGTTGACACTACTGGCACACTGACGTTGAATGTTGGTGGAGTTTACCCACAGCACTGACGCTTATTGTGCCTGGCGTTTTGGTGTGTTTTTAATTGACTTTGGAAATAGATGCCAACATGTTCTTTTGCACTTCTTTTGGTATATTATTCGATAGTATTCGATACTCAATTTCATGTCAAATATTGAATTTTCGGGAGAGTGCGCGTGAAGCTAAGGGGGTTTCCAGCGCGAAGAATTAAACACTCTGGTTCAAAACAGGCAAAAATAGATGCACAGTCAACGCGGGAACTACATTTTCAAATCTTCCCTTTTGGCCTATTACGCAGGTGATGCCATTAAATGCAAAAGACCCACTCTCTGTTGGCGAGATTATCTGTTTCGCATTGCCCTGTTTTGAAGGTCCACAAAAAGACGAATCTCCAGGGGACAACGCTCTGACTTAGTTCTTGTTTTCCTATTAGGCACATCGTTAGGGTTTCAAGTTTTGTTGCATAGAGGATAGCGACTCTCGGACCAAAGATCTGGACTAGACATCGATTTCACTGGCTACCGTGTGAGTTTCGGCCAAGAGTCGTTAGCTCGATTTCAGCTATGTGCGGTACAGGACGATCGATCGAGTAGAACGCGCGCTAGTGACTCTGGTGCCAGCTGGACGGATGCACGCAGTTATAAGTTCGCGGAACGGTATGAGCTAATAAAAAGGGTCACCTCAACGCAGTAAGTATGACGCGCTGAAATTTATCATGAAAATTAAAGGTTTGTGGCATCGGGGAAAGGCCGGCTTACAGGATAACTGGGCCTTCTGTTGGATTGAGGTTAGGCCTACAAATTGATTTTCTTATCGTGGCTCTCATTTCACCTCTCACCTATCTGGGGTCCCAGACCACATATTGTAGCCTGTCATGTGCTGAGCGGAACCAGATCGTGTGTGTATGTGGCATGCGTAGACAGAGCATTCGATTTTGTCAGTCGCCGTCCTCACGATCGCTTCTGATCGTCCTACCTCCATCTTTTCACCGGATCACGCTGGCTGCGGGAAGATGGCATGCGGCAGATGCATCGCAAGCCAGCTCCACTGATGATCCCACCTCTTTGGGCTGGGCCTTGCGTCATCACTTGCGATAGTCCAATTGTCATATGCGAAGTAGGGTGTACACTGCGGAGGGATACGTCATGGCGGTTCAACCGTCGTTACCGACTACGTCACCCGTGTGTCCTGGAGTAGGGTGGGTGCACGAACGATGACTTGTGTGGAAAATTAATTCATAGTGGTAGTGGACTTGCACTGAATCTACCGCATTCTCTCTTACCGCACACTCCTCGGCTCGGTGTCAAGAAAGTTTCAAGAAGACCGAAGGCTGACTCGTGTTCAGGCGATAAGCGCTGCCCGCACCTTCGCCTAAACATGCCACCACCCCTCAATGTACCTCAGTTGCTATCGGTTCATGTCCCAGACACAGGTGTGGCCTCCGTGTTGGTCCAGTACAACTCCCGCACTGCCTGTTCTTGGGATACGTCATCCTGAACGGGGACGAGGGATCGAGCTTCTTTTTGGTAGTAGCAATTTGCGCCGTTCGTGAAATCCCAGCAGAGTACGCAGCCCACCCTGTGACAGTCGTCTGAGCGAAGATGAAAAAAAGCTAGAGGAATTCACTCTGCGCGACTGGACAAACAGCCAGGTGTATGTCAATCGCTCTGTTCTACAGTGTTGTTCATAAGGCAATTCACCATCTTTTTATTGAGTTACTGAACGCAGTTCAGCCTGGTTTGCACAGTTGCTAATATCGCAGATCGGTGCTCCCTCGCGTACAGCCCTATTCGATTGTTGTTTTGGGGTTTAACTACTTTAATGATCTGAGTAATCATGTTTTCACGTGCATAGTTTTGGTTGGCTCACGTGGAAGATGCTTCTTCTTAGTGCTAAAATACCTTCCGTTATCAGGCGTAAACATAGACGCTTCCGTCATAAATTTTTTACTTTTTGATGTATTTTTCGGGGATACCGGTTAACGTTGTAGTTTTAAACCTTTTCGCTAGTACCGGTTTACTTGGCTTCTGATGCTTTATTAGAGGACTTCAATTCTGATGCATTTCCCAAAAGTGGAAATTGCGGTTTTCCTTCTACATTCTTCCCTAATGCTACCTTTTATGATAGTTGCGACGGGATTAGGGTAAGGACTGGTTAATTTTACGCAATGTGTTATAATTTTGAGACTAGAGTTAGCATTAGAATTTTAAGCTAGAATGGGGTGGAGTCAGAGGCTTAGTATTAAAGCTAGAGTTTGAGAATTAAGGTTATCGTTGGCTTTTACAATCGGGATTTTGTTTTTAAGGTTAGACAAGGAGTCGGAGGTTAGGGTTAGGGTTTTAAGGTTGGAGTTAGGATCAGTGCGAGGGTTTTGAGATTAGAGTAAGGTTAGTGCCCTAAAGTCCAGGTTAGTGTTGGGGTATTAACGTAAGGGTCAGGGCTTTATTGTCAGTATTGTGTTAAGGGAATTATATTTTATATTTTTCGTTAGGGTTGAGGGTAGAGTTTTGAGGTTATGATAAAAAATAAGGGTGAGTTTGGAGTTTTAAGGTTTGCTTTAAGGAAAAGATCAGTTAGCGAAGATACGCGTAAAGGGTCCTATTCTGGCTGCTGGTTTACATTCCTGCTGTTATGAGTAATTTCCATCTTATTTTTCCCTAATTTTCACTTATTTTGTTCGTCACTTTTTAATATGTCCTGATTTCGTTTTGCTTTTAGCCTATGCGTTTTTCAACTCCCTGTCTTTTGGTTGTGCAAAAATTGGTTTAGTTTTGCGGCTGCCAGTAACTAAGCCAGTCAGTCAACTCCGTATTTCATATTTTTCAATAACGCGCTGGAATTTTCCCTCGTAATTGGTCTGCCTATGCAAGATCGTGAGGTAAATGCAATTTGTGGGGCTTCTTCTTCGCGGAGTATGTCATCGATAAAACCCATATTACAACCGTTACCGTATTACCGGTGTCTCTGCTTCTCGCTTTATGGGTGGGGCTGCTTACCGTATCCTTGCTCACAAACAGATTAATGTTTATACAGTTCAGGAATGTTTTACATATGGAACTGAAAGAAGGCTCGAATGTCCGAAGATTTTAAATGAGTGAACTCGTATTCCTCGACTTCCTTACACAAACAACTAGTTCATATGCTAAAAAATCATATAGCCTTTATTGATAATAGTCCAAGAGAAATTTGATTCTCTTGTCAACGCTTGTCGTGGTACACCACGATCAAATGTACCTTTCGTGAAAGGGTGCGTTTATATTTAATATTGATAAAGTAATCCGTAAACCTAGGGCGTACAGTTTACAATGTCCATTGTGCGGAAGTCGAAAATCAACTGCCTGAAAAATCTGGTAGCTGTATGGGTTAATAAGTAAAAGGCTTCCAATGAGAGGGTCCGGATTCCCGAATAAACACTCACCTACCCGCCTACCCGAAACCCAAACGACATTGTGGACCTAGTTGACAATGGGCACTGACAAAAGGCCACCAATTACTGCCACAGATCTGCGCATCGTACCCTGAGGTCAGTGAGGATAGGCAGTCATAGTTGGTGCTTACATTGTCAGAACACATGTACACTTTTTTCCGTGAACAACTAAACTCTCGCTGATACCTGGAATGGTGCTTCCTCCGCCAGTGGAGTGTGCGACTCCTCAATAGCTTAATATACCCATGATCCAGTGGAACGATCGCGGGCTAACCAAGTCTTCGATCCGATGGGAAGCGCGATTTGTGTAGGTTACAGTGTGAGGTATGCGAAGGGCAAACGAATCTCTGAATGTGGGAAACAGATAGCACTCTCTAAAAAATGACACGACTACTCCAGTCTGCGCTGTAAACTGTTTCACATCCCCTGATCCTAAAACTTGGCATCGGATTATCCTTATTATCTCGGTATCTAAGGCGATTACAATTGGATGATATTTTAGTCCGTCTAATATACAGAGTCTTGTTAACTATGGGGTTCCTGGCGCTTAGGCAATGACCGGCTCCGAGTCGAAAACAAAATCAGTCATTTTGGATGCCAACCCGAAAGTGGGCTGATAATGGTGCGAAACCACGGCAAGCATCCGACGAGGCATGGACGACATTTGTGAAGGCATAGAGGAAAAGTGCTTGACGCCCAAAAGGCATTTACCTCAAATGGCTGTCCGAAAACCTACGCACTCTGCCCGGACCTTTTATGTTCGAATCTACGTTCTATCATGGTGTACAACTTGGTGTGTTTATTTACAGAGTCATCAGTAGTATTTCCTGCGTAGCATCTTAAAACCGCAGAAAGGAGCATAAAACATGTCAATATACAGACACTCCCCTCTCCCTCTCCCCAGCAGAACGCCGAGGAATGGGGCTGAAAGGAACGACGCAAAACTAAATATGAAGGGTATTTCTCAGCTGGTTTAGGTTATCAATAATCATCCTGAGGGTGAACTTGGTGGGCGCATGGGAGACGAGAGCCTTCCGATGATTTGCAAACTCCATGTAAAACCCCTTCATGGATTCGGAGGTGTAAGGCAGTTTAGTAATGACGAAGCCCAAAAAGACGTCATCCACCCAGAGCAGTCGGGTGTAGGCAGCGGCAATGACCAGGTCAGAAATTACGTCCATGCCGACTAGGTAGGAGGCGCCAGAGAAGTAAGGTGGAAAGTCGGGCCAGGGCACCTCATCCACACTGAGGGCCCACTTGTTGCGAGACGGGTCCTCGAAGGGTCGAATAACTTTGCGCCAACTCATCAGTTTTCCCGCCAGAAGGCGAGCCTTCTCTCGAGGTGCCAGAATGTCAAGGTAATTTAGAACGTTGTCGGCGCTGAAGCGATAGTCATCGTCGAGGAAGAGAAAGGCGTCTGCTTTTCCACGACAAAATGCGGAAGCCCAACGGAGGCTGGTGATCATCTTGTAGGTTAGATTCACGTAGGTGTCCTCGTAATCCCCGATTATGAGGTCGTCGTAGAGATCGGCTTCTTCATAGACCCGTCGAAGGGCCTCATGTCTACGTCCGTTCCACTTTTGGAGGACCATGCCGGCGCGCTCGGGGAGTTTGATGGAGAAGCCGTTCATGTGGAAGACATTTTTACCTGCGGAACGTGGCATACCCACTGAAAAGACCACTCCGATGCGATTATTGAGTGCTTTTCCCAGCTGTGAGTACTCGGAGCGAAGTTTCAGTCGATCATCAAAGTTGTAGATGCCGGACTTGTAAACTACAACAAGTGTGTGTTTTGGAGCCGAGTTCCGGGCGGGGCCAGTTGGTGGGCAAATCGATCGACTGATCCGAAGGAGTTTAATATTTGGATTTGTGATTGGCGCCTGAAAGAAATTCGTTAGTGGGACAGTAAAGTCTGAAGAAGCGGTGGCTCCAAAAAGGCATCAAAATAACTCCTGAGATGATGGGGAAGTGAAAAAAGAACTTCCACCTGCAGACGTCTAACTCGGAAGATTTTAAATTTAAGGCATAACGCGTTAACATGATGCCAACAGTTTTAAAAAACTACCAGTCAAAAGGTAGGTATAGCAGCTCACCTAAGAAATAGGTTGGTTTTAAATCAAGGCACAGGCTGTAAATCATCGGACCTATCTCATGAAATGTTAATTGGAAATCGGAGATGTTTTCTCGATAAGAAGGTATTTGCATAGACAGAGCTGTAATACCGATTATTATCTCGCAATATCCTATGATAATTCAGTCACGCTAATATTCCGGCTTTTGAATCAGCTACTTTCCGGTCGACTGCGCAAACTACACTTAGCAAAAATGACTACTTAATTACTAGTATTTGTTCCATTTTCTTTCGGTGTACTTATATAGTCAGATATATTTTACGAAAGCATGCCCAATTATATTTTCCACTGTACCCATTTCTTAATAAATTACATTTTACGAATTTTTCGGAAATGAAGTTGACTGACAGTCCGACCGTCATGCCCGACGATTAAACGGGGACCCCACAGCCAGGTGGAGCGGACAGGGTGACTTACACGTGAATAAAAATGAGAATGGACTTGCACAGCAGCTACTGCACACTCCCATCCTCCCCACCTGCTCCCCGTTTCAAGACATAGTTAAGAAGACCAAATGGAAAAGAGGGCGCAGGTGGCTGGCACGGCCGATCCCGCACCTGGGCGTATCACCACATCCCCTGGTCCACATCAAACACTTGACCAGGATTCTAACCAACAACAGCACTACAATTGGTAAGAATGACAGGGATGACTGGACAGCCATGTTCACGAACTGTATTACCAGCGGGAGCGCAAGCACATCTACCAGGTGTAAGAGAACTGCCAGCACACTCCAGGCTGCGAGAGCCATAGTTTTGTGATCCTGGCATAGCAGATGCTCACGTGCCGTGAGGCCCAGAAGATGTATGTTTTAACTTTAAAAGGCTTTTGTTATGATTTTCCTAAGATTATGAAAAGTTTTTTGATAATGCATCGTACCTATCACTTATAAATGTTGCATGTTGTATAAGAATGAATATTTTTTGCGTGTCTCTATTAAAATATATCCGAATATTAAAAGCACCAAAAATCAGTTGGAATAATTCCAGCTACTTAAGTAGCCATTTCTACGGAATGCATGTTTGCAGACGGCCTGAACGAAGCTCCACCAAAAACCGGCATCCCCATATGATTGAAATATCTCAGAAGTATGCTGCACGATCAATAATGTTACAAATCTTCTAAATACTTTTTGTCAACCGAAAAGCATGTCAAAACTTCCTTCAACTTTCATAAGATGACACACCTACTGTAAATTACGCGCAACGTAAAATGAAAATAAATGGCCTTTCTAATTGCAGTGGCCTATCGGTAAATACCATGGACACTTTTGGGTGTCAACTCTAATTGTGAGTCATGTCTGTTCAGGAGTGTGTGGCTGGGAAACAAATCCATCTGAGCAGACATAACCAAAGAACAGAGAAAATTAAGCTTTGACATAATTAAAGTTAAATTTACTGTTCGTCAAATCAGCAATAACTTATTTTTAGGCGAGCCTAATGTCAGATAATTATTGCAACCGATGATTTTATCGGAAAACTTCGGTTCCACCATATGGCTGGACAGTGCGCACTTTCATCAAAATACTCAACTTGGATGAATGCCTTTTTCAATGCAATTACCTATTCATCGTTTCAATAGGATTTGGGCCTCATATGGGCACTTTTAAGTGTGCGTAGATTTATGAAAAACTAGTTATAACTCGGAGAACGACTTATCTACATCAAATAATAATCTTAATTAATAATCAGCGACCTAAAGTGAGATGAGAACTTAGAAGAAATTTTAGAAATAGATGCACGTTTGTGAGAACAAATTTTTTTGTGAAATGACTTAGATGCGCGAGAAAGCGTATCGAAGTATAAAACGCAAGTTTGTGGAGTATATAGGGCCTCTTCATGCAGATCACTGAGTAAATAACAACAGTAGCGGAGCAATAGTTATAATAGCCCCTTTTTACGGTTTTTACGTAATATCCTCCAAAAAGCGTAAATAAACTTGTGGCGATAGGCCAACTACAATTTGGCTAAGTTTAAATCCCAAAATTTTTACCAAAATTTAATCCAATTTTCTCGTTTTTGAATTGTTTAGAACGCAGTTTATTAAACATAAGGTTATTTCTAATGGTTTTCTTAAGAGGAACGTCAGAAATATAAAACCTGTCCTAAGACTACATGCTGGCCAGCCAATCAGTTTCTACGCAGTCGGAGTAGAGCCGGCAGATGCAATCGTAAGAATACCTTTTGTGCGCATCAAGAGAACTAACCTCCCACGGAAGTACTATTCACGCTTAAGCGAAGGTTGTGTCAGCTGCTTTTCACAGTGGCGCTTAAAGTTCAGTGAATATAGTGCGATTTTCAGCGTCCAAAATCGACCGTCTGTATAATGTGTTTATTAAGATCTTCAAAAAAAGATAGTTCTTGAAACTATTTAGCAGGGGAGAGGGTGCTTGAAGATTCTTTTTTACGCAAATAGAGGTTAGCGTCGTAGTTGTAAATCCATCCAACACATAAAAACGTCATCACCAAAACTAATGAACGTCCGCAACTGAAGTGTGTGATAAGTATGCTCTCGATGAATGAGAAAACCGTCTATGATAAGTTACATGTAGGAAACCGACTGAATACACGGCGCAACCACATGTATCTCCTAAATGTGGTCGGAGGGATGAGTTTTGGCAGAACGAAAGCTTTACTATGAGTACCATACGTTTGTATGCATAAGCGACAAAGGCTGTAGAAGACGGAAGGTTCCCCGCTCCGTATCCGGACTATGAATAATACTGACAGTTCGAACATCGCGACCGAAGATATTCATAGTGTTCCTGCAGCTCTGACGACACAAAACGGTCATGCCCGACGATTGAACGGGGACGCCATAGCCAGGTGGAGCAGACAGGGTGACTTGCGCGTGGATAAAAATGAGAATGGACTTGCACAGCATCTACTGCACGCTCCCATCCTCCCCCCCCCTGGGGCCCGGTGTCAAGACATAGTCAAGAAGACCAGATGTAAGAGAGGGCGCAGGTGGCTGGCACGGCCGGTCCCGCACCTGGGCCTATCACCACATCCCCTGGTCCACATCAAACACTTGACCAGGATTCTAACCAACAGTATCCCTACAATGGGTAAGAAAGAAAAGGATGACTGGGCAGCCATGCTTACGATCTGTATTCCCAGGGGGAGCGCAAGCACATCTACCGATAGGGAACCAGGTGTCAGATAACTGCCAGCGCACACCAGGCTGCGAGGGCCATTGTTTGTTGATCCTGGCATAGCAAACGCTCACATATCGTGAGGCCCAGAAGCTGTTTTTTTCAACTTTAAAAAGCTTTTGTTGTGATATTCTTAAGACTATGAAAAGTCTTTTCATACTACGTTGTACCTACCGTCTATAAATGCTGCTTGTGATGTATGCATCATTGTCTTTATTCACTGCAAGATATTATGAGTCCTGTATGACCTTTCTTAATAGCTTAAATAAACATTTAGTGTTCCTTAAATGGAAATCATACAGCAAGCACAAGCGCTACTTCAGGTTGTGTTATAGATATTTCTGCAATTGAAAACGATCCTTAACAGAAGTGCACCCATTCTTCAAGCAGTAATCCAAAGAAAATGTTGTTTGCCATCAAACAAGTCTATGAAGTGGTATTTTGCATGAGTTTCCTATAAAAATTATTTTTATTTATAAGGGCCTTGAAAATGAATGGTAAAAACGCTTTCTACTTATTTCATCCTTGCATGCGGCTGTTGGCCGGCCAAGTAGTTTCTAAGCAGTCGGAGTAGAACCGGCAGATGCGATTGTAAGCATACCTTTTGTGCGCATCGAGAGAACTAATCTCCCACGAAAGTACTACGCACCCTTTGGCGAAGGTTGAGTCAGCTGCCTTTCACGGTGGCGCTTAAAGTTCAGTGGATAGAGTGCGGTTTTCAGCGCCCAAAATCGACCGTCTGTACTATGCGTTTATCAAGATCTTTAAAATAAGATATTCCTTGAAAGTATTGAGCGAGGTAGAGGGTCCTCGGATATTCTTTTTTACGCAAATAAAGGTTGGCGTCGTAGTTTTAAATCCACCCAGCACATAAAAACGTCATCATCAGAACCAATGAACGTCCACAACTTAAGTGCGTGATAAATATGTTCTTCATGAATGAAGAAACCGTCTATGATAAGTTGCATACTTGAAATCGACTGAATACACGGCGCAACCACAAGAAACTGCTAAATGCGATCGGAGGGTTGAGCTTTGATTGTTCGAAAGCTTTACTATGAATACCATGCGTTTGTATGTATAAGCGACGAAGGTTGTCGAAGATGGAGGAGTTTCCCGCTCCGTATCCAGACTATGATTAATACTGACAGTTCAACCATTGCGAGCAAAGATATTAACAGTGTTCTCACAGCTCTGAGGACACAAAACGGTGACTATTGCGTGAATAAGTTTATAGTGATAGCAGACTCGCGCTGCAACTATCACACATTCTCCTCCTTCGCCCATCTGACTCCGGTTTAAGGAAAGAGTCAAGAGGAGGAGAGGCAAGATTGAATGCAGTGGT